TGCATTGAACCCCATCCTCTTCGTAAACTCCGACGGACAGTGGGTCATCATGGTGTCCGTAAAAAGCGGACCCATCACAGGAGCCGGGGCTGAGAGAAGCCTCCCGACTCCCAGCTCATCTTCGCTGCTCTACCCATACCCCGTTACTGGCCGCGTTAAAACCGTGGCCAACATCCTGTCCAACAGCTTCAACGGATGGACGTCCAAGCTCAACGGTCGGGCAAACCTGAAGGCGGCCCGCCTCAGCGACGTCCTGGCTGGGGAGCAGGTGGAGACGATGATCAACGGTCTCATCAAGTGCGACAAGTACGACTCCTTTTTGGAGGATATCAAGACCAAGATCCTCAACTACCGGAGGGGCAGGGCGGCTAACATCGTCGCGCTGCTCAAGGACTTCTTGGGCACGTCGCAACGGAACATAATGCCCTTACAGTAGCGGCAATCCTATGCGACGCGCTCCCAATCCGCGGCTCCGCCACTCACCACATCCCCGACGCCTGCATCGCGCCGCTCGGGCTTGACGAGGTCTTGAAGAACAACTGGAGGACGGAGTACCTGGCCGTCAAGCAGAACCAGGCGAAATGGCATGTTGGGTTTACTTCAAGCTGCTATGATCTTAGCGATCCACGCTGATCCCAACAGTCGGGCGGCATCAGCAGCTTCACCCAGTATGAGCCCCCCGTGGTGACAAAGTGGCTGCAAACATTTCTTTCCGAAAGGCCTGGAGGAAATCATCGAGACATGTCAGGACCGGACATGACCTCCGAGCTGTCTGTTGCGAGCTGACAGTTCCTGTGGGACAAGGTCGAGAGGCTCGTCACCCCCCAAGGCCACTGGCGTGGCCCATGACTACGGCATTGCAGCCGGCGAGGGGTGCTGGATCGTCCCCGCTTTCCTTCGTGGTTGACGCAAATTCCCCAAACTGGAATTCCTGCAGCGGGGAGCATCGAGGGCACCATGGACTTAGCCAGTTCTCCCTCGCTCATGAAGAAGTGGTCACTTCAGAATCCGAGGACAAAATCGGTATCTGGACATCACTGATCTACAGCCAGGCGCTCGGCTACTTTACCTGGGGACACTACGGGCAGGGGGTATGGGCACATCTGTCCTTCATGCTCCCGGTGGACGCGACCAGCGGCGACGACCCGCGCGGTGACAAAGCGCGGCGTTTGATGCTGGCCCGCCGCGCGCCCGTGTTTGCCCTTGCCATGAAGTTCTCAGATGACCTGGATAAGATCACAGGCGGTGAGGGCTTCTCGTCATGCTACTCCAACGCCGGCAGCGAGCTGCAGCGGTTCAACCCTTACATGGAGGTTAACCCCTGCTCTCCGTGGAGAAAGCGCGCGTTCTTCCAGCCCAACGCGATCGGAGAGATCGGGGCGACGAAGCGCGAGTTGGAGCGAATGGCCGCTCCCGCTACCCCCACTAGAACTGGAGGGTTTGGTTCGGAGTTTGGGAAGCACCCGCTGGTCCGTAACTCATATGCGGTAAAAACGCAGGAGGCCGAGAAGGAGTTCCTCAGGAGGGAGATCCGCAATGTGCTCCGGGGTACGGCCGTGCAGCCTGGAAAAGCCGGCGCCGTCTCCGATCCTGAGCTGGAGTCCTTGACCGCAAGTGGTCAGGGAAACGTGACGACAATCCGTCAGCTCAAGGAGTTCCTGCACCACTACTTCGGCGCCAGCCTGGCGTCCGATGAGGCGTGTGCCCAACATGTTCTGTCCTCTTACATTGAGGATGGAGTGGGTATGTTTGAGCTCATTCTCACCGTCATCCGTGACAAGGATCATCGCCTGATACAAGGCTCCGCGCGCATTGCGGCCATCAGGTCGCTTGAAATTGGCGCCGACACAGACTATCGGGCCTTCTGCGAGAGATACCAACACATGCTCTACGAGAGTCCGTATGCTTGCCCATCACTTCGAAGGTGGTTCCTAAGACCCTGTACAAAGTGGTCCCACTTCGTGAGTACCGCCTCTTCATTGAGCAAGGGGCCATCATCAGAGCGGGCAAGGCTATGATTGAGCTCCTCCCGTCCCGGCCGGATGAGTACGAACCCATCCGTGACCATGGTGAATGCCCCACCGACTCCGTCGACCGCATCACCGATTGAAATGTGACCAAGCTGCACATCGGGTCGACGCCAGAGAGGCGATCCCCGCTACATGGTCATCGCCATCGACGCCCGCTTCTTCGTTATGGAGAATGGCGGCATCCGCGGATGGCCAGTGCAAAAAGCGGCCTCAGGGCCGTTTTATCAAGGCAAGCTCCAATTGCCATCCTTCGCAAAGGCAGAAGGAGCGAAATGGCCAGACCCTTAAATTCGAGCTATCGTGGACCTGCCTCCCGCGACCGGCCTGGGCGACACCCCCAAAGCCCCTGCCAGGCCTGCGCGCACATTACGCGACAAGGTACCGTACTGGGAGGGTGGATCTATCCACCCAACTTCCTCGGCACCGTTCCTGACGATCCAAGGAGGTGCTTCCATGAGGTGAAGAATGACCGGCATGCTACGAAGGTGGAGCATGTTAGGGGCGTGCTCTCCATCCCGTGCCACAGATGCATATCGGAGCACCCGACCGGCGCACACCTGTGCACCGCCTGCTACCTCCCCGTCTTCTATGACAAAGTGCTGCCGACCGGAGACACGGACGGCGGTAGGCGCAAGCGCGCATCCTGTTCTCTGGAGCGACGAGGACGCTATGTCCAGCGGACCAGTGCCCCGCTGTTGATGCGCGATCTTTGCTGCTCTCCGGTATGCGCCCTCCCAAATACCTCGACCAAGAAGACATTCAGGGCATGTTTGGGAGTCTGTACGCCGCTTTCAAAGGGGAGGTGCTTCACTCCAAGTACCAGGACGCGGTTGACCGCACCATAGAGGAGTGGGTCGCCAAGGCCGTCCTGGCTTGCGGACTCCCATTCAATGGGAGCACGGTGTCGGACTTCTTCGAGGAGCACGAGGGGTATGCGGCAGAGTGGGTAGACGCCTCACCACCGCGAACTTCAACCCCAACAGGAGTGGCTTCTACACGTTGACTGAGGCCCACCTCATCGGCTTGAGGTCTGGGCAGATCTCGCCCATCCTCTTGAAGGATTTGAAGGGGGAAGTTTTCAAGGCCAGGTAGCGTGCCTTGCTCAGCGTCGGGGTGATGCAGGCCCTGCGGAGAAAAGCTGGCGATGGACACTGTGAAGGAGGGCATTCAGAAGGGCCGCGCATGCACGCTCAATGCCTGGTCTACAGGACCTCCACTGTCGCATACGACACCTGCCTGGCTGACCGTCCGCAAACGCAGGATGATGTCAAGCAGGAGCTCGCTGAGCCGATGCTCAGGAAATACCGGCTTCGACCGCGTGACCGCCACGGGCAGGCGCTTCGCCTGACTCCTGGTCCTGGTGTGAAGGATGAGGAGGAGCCCCCGTCTATGCTCCGTCCAGCCAGGATGAGCAGGGCTCAGATGGATCATCCGTGGATGACGAGGGTCGCCGGCCCCGCCTGCACCGCCAATTGCGGTTGAACCGGAAACGCCGGTCTTGCCCACTGCGGCTGCTGGCCCAAGTGAGGCTGCGTCTCCTCCTCCTCCTCCTCCTCCTCCTCCTCCTCCTCCTCCTCCTCCTCCTCCTCCCCCTGTCCCTATTGCGGCCGTTGTATCGGCTGCGCTGGACCCGTTTGAGGACGACTAGAAGCGATGAGGCAAGGGGAAGCAGCAAGGACAGGCCCAGAAGCTTCTTCTTGCAGAAGGACCCCTTCACCGGTGAGGAGGCGATGCCGAAGGCTCTCTACTCCTTTGCGCCTGAGATGCCCTAGTACATCCCCTCCTCGCTCCGATCCGGAACGTTGAAGAGTCCGCGCGTCTCTGACCCGCGTGATGATGACGAGGAGTGGGACCTCCCTCCAGATCGACCACGGCCTAAGCGGGCCGAGGACCGATCTCGGACGGGTCTTGGTGCACGTGATGACCGTGGCGGTGAACGCCGCGGCCCTCGAGAAGAGGGCAAAGGCCGCGGAAAACGCAGGCCCGGCAAGGACGCACGCGACGACGCTGGCCCTCCCCGACAAATTGGGATGATCGGGCCGGTGGAGATCGCCGCAGGGACGACGGAGGTGACCGTCGCAGAGATGACGGTGGCGACCGTCGGAGAGATGAGCCCAGGGACCGGCGAGAACCCAGGACCGGGTGGTAGAGCGATGGCAGCTTCATCGCCCGCCATGTCCATGCCTCGTAAGCGGCAAAGCTGGGTGGTCTACCTGTTCAAGCGCCGCTGTGGGTGATGTTCTCCATGGCCCTGCGCCGCTGATCCGGTGTTGATCACGCTCCTCCCGCACCGCTGCTGCGCGCGCCGGAGATGGTCCCTCTGGTGACCCTGTGTGAGGCTGTGACCGCACTAGAAGTGCTGGGCCAGCCGTAGCCGGGTTTCTCACGCCATCAATTTTCTATTTCCTTTCGCTTTCTCAAACTCGCAAACCACTAGGTGGCATACTGTGAGGCGCGGTGATCCAGCGAACGCCACTACACAATACTTGAACGGAATCTTTGTTTGGTTCCTCCATCATGCCTTTGCTCACTCACGTGGCCCATTCGTCAGATAATCCAGTCGCCCCGCTGGTGGCGGGATTTTAATTGGGGCCCAGGTGATGCCGTTTGGCTCACCTCTGAGGTGGCCCTGGTTGGTTCCTTTCGTCGTGAACTCAACTGTCATGCATCCTTTCTCTTGTCCAGATATCGGATGAGGGAGTTCACGTGTTGTTTCATCATAAACCATGCGTGCCGAATGGCCGCTTGGCTCAAGTTCATTCCTTCCCGTCAGGAAGGACTAGGTTCCACGTGCATCTTCAAGGTGCCCACAACCTGGTCATCGGCTCCTTCTCCATTGTGCGGTGGGACTGGGTTCTTTTGGTACTTCGTGGATTACGTGTACCTCTTTGATTCCCTGGACTACTTCGTGTTCGCCCAAAACCGCAAATATGACTCGGAGCGGTTGCGGTGTGCGTTGATGTTGCCCAGGTGCCTCTCTCCGCGCCGGAGGAGAAGGCTCGGGCTGAAGAGCCCAAGGTCGCAGAGAGAGGGGCTGAGGCGATTGAAGCGAAACATGAGGGCGAGGAGAAAAAGGAGGACATTGAGGAAAAAGAGAAGGAAGAAATTCTGGAGAAGGAGGGGAAGGCGTCAGAGAGGGAAGAGCAGACTGACGCTCGAAAGATGGAGCCAAAGCCAGAGATGGAGCAGTCGGAGCCGGAGACGGGAATGAAGCCGATGGAGGTTGAGACGGCCGAGGGGGAGCACGAGCGGCGGGTTGTGGAGGGTGTGGAGCAGCCTGAGACCGAAGAGCCCGAAGAGGCCGAAGCCAATATCGGGGAAGAGGAGGGTGTGCCAGAGGGCCTTCAAAAGAGCGACAGCCTTGGCGAAGGAGCTATGGATTTGGAGCTTGGTTTGTACCCTGTTGGCTCATGCAAGGATCGTGCCCAACATTCCAGACCACATGTCCCCCCCCCAAAGCAGTGGCGGTCCAGGACGTGAGGAGGTCTGAATTGCGAACCGCTTAGGGACAGGCCAGTGACCTGCTCCTTGTCGAAAAGTCCGGTTGTGCAACTTCAGCGGTCGCACCACTCTAGCAGGCAAAAGGTAGGCTCAGGCCAGTGGAGCAGCAATCTCAGGCTTTGGTTTTGCGCTGCCTGCGCCTTTGAGCTCAGATCCGTCCTCACTGCCTCCCGTCGCTTCGCCATGGCGAAAAGAGGCTTCGCCTTGGCGGTGCTCGGCCTGTGCTTCGGCATCGGCTTCGGGCCTGGCTTCATCGGGGCACGTGCCCGGGCTTCGGGGAGCGTGGCGTGCAAGGGCTGGCGGCTGGACAAGATCGAGGTGGGCCCCCGGGGCATCGGCCAGCTGGTGGTGGCCGAAGGCTTCTTCATCGGCGAGAAGGCCCAAAGCAAAAAGAGCAGCCCGCCCCGCTGACACCCATAAAATCGTGCTAGACATGCTCAAACTGGAACCCGCGACTTTGTGCCACGCATTCAAGCGAATGAGCGAATGAGCGAATGCGTGTGTGCGCCCTGCGTGAGGACATGTACAAGATGATCAACTCGCAGGGGCGGCGGTACCGGCTGCGGCCGTCGGCGGAGGACCGTAAGGCGGGGAAGACGGTGCCGGGGATCTTCCAGCTTGGGCCTTTCAAGATCCACCTGGAGCAATGCTTTCGGGGCTCCGGCGGGGACGTGGATCTGCCGCGCCCGGAGGGCTACTCAGGCAACGGGGGCATGGCAGGCTGGGCCGAGGACCTGCCGGTGAAGAAGCTGGGCTACGGCCGGTGAGTGAGCGGTGAGCCGGTGCGAGAGCTGTGAGCTTGGGTGAGTCGGTCTTCCGAGGTGGCCCAGGTCTTCCGAGCCGACCATGCCGACCCGAGCCTCCTTTTTCGCAAGAGTCGAGGTTCGAGGAAAACGCGGAGAAGCGCATTGCAGTTCTTGTCTGGCAAGGAGCGGCACAGCTTCAGGTAGTATACGTGCCCTGCCTCATGGCTCCAGTAGTTGCTTGCCGTCCAGGACAGTCAAGCAGGTTGGCGAACAGACTGGCTAGGATATGATACAGGCCCATACTGTAGGCTTAACGTGGGACATGTTCAGCGTTGTTCAACATGTTTTGCATTTTGGCAAGGCCAGTTGCTCACCGGTCCGGATCGCACCAAGCGCATCATCTGTTTTCCACGCCATGCAGCGGATGTACAGCCCAGATGATCGGTCAGAGCCGGTGAAGTGGAGGGGACCCTAGTCGGGGTGGGCAAATCTTTAAGCATGTTTGCTTGCGTCAGCTAAAGGCGGCTAAAGGCATGTTTGCACCCCAAGCGTGGCCTCCGGTTTCGCTAGGAAGTCGCGGCTGGGCGAGATACTTCGAGCTTTCCAGACCGGTGAGCCCAGCATCCGCATCGGATGGCGATGCTTGCCCGGCCGGGCAGGCCATGTCATCAACACCATGTGGGCCGACGCGGGCACACGACTCTGCGCAGCGCCTGCCTCGTAGCCTTGCCGCTTGCTTGCGTGGGGCCTGCGGCTTGAGGTGCAGATGGCCCTGGTCCGTGTCTTCATGATTTGGCCGCTGAAGGCAAGGGGAAGGCAGAGAGGCTGGAAGTGGCGCAAGTGGGGTGGGCAGGCCGTAGCTCCCATGGCCTACCTCTACTGGGCACGGCGCCCGGCAAGGTGTGGGTGGGTGAGTGGTGCGGGCCCAGGCCTGGAGGCTGATGAGGAGCCTCTCCGGCGCGGCGCCGAGGAAAGCGCCGCACTCAGCTTAGCTTCGATTCGGAGCCGCGGCCCGGTCGTCACCTGAGGCCCAGCCGCAGGGCGCTTTGGCACTGCTGCGGGCGGCTGTAGCCTGGGGCTTGCAGGCAGGGACCTGGAGTGCATGAAGTGAATGACGTGCATGAAGTGAATGAAGTGAATGAATAAGTGGCCTGGCCAACGGCCAGGAGACGATGTCTTTGTGGTTGGGCCTAGAAGTGTTCTTCTACATCTACTACCGCTACAAGCGGGCCATGCTGCAGGCATGTCGACAAAGAGCCAACGAATCCGGCGCCTGCGTCACGTCAGGAGCCGGCGGTGCCGCCGCGGCTGTTGCCAGGTAAGTCGCTGGTCCGAGCCCAAGTGTTCGGCCCGATGGACAGAAGAGCAGACGCAGGGCCGTTGCTTTGGAAGGGTCGGAAGTTGTGAGTTCTAAGTTTGGAAGAGTTCCAATAATTTCACTGAGATCGTCAGATGCTGAAAAGTGCCGGCAGTCCGAAGGCAGTCCGAAGGCGTCGGGCTCGAGCGGCTCGAGCGGTCAAGCGGCGCGCGGCGCGCGGCCGGCATGGGCCCGGGCGCGGAGATCAGCTTCCTCCGGACGCTGCAGGCGTCGGCGCCACGGAAAAATGAGGAAGTCAACACCTACGTCGGTTTGATCGATGTAATCGTGCCTGGTGTTCTTTGCATCCTTTCAACGCTTGTACTGTCAAGAATGATAGTTCGACTCGCTGTCTATGGGATCTGGCCATGAAATCAGGGACACTTTAGATGGACAGGCAACATAACCAAGCACACTGCCCCAAGCGCACAGGCACACAACCCAAGCAGCATCGCGACTTCTCATTCACCAAGAAGCCTGGTCATGTAGCTTACGGCTGATGACCTAATGAAGTAGCAACTCTGTGGCTGATCACCTAGGAAGTCTGACAAAGTAAAGCCGACAAAAATTAGAAATTGCGGCACAGCTCGTCAACTACGCTTATCAGTATGTAGCCTCATGTTCGGCTTGGGCCGAGCGCCGAAAGCTGGGGGTTGGGAGTTTGGGAAGGGATGAACAGGTGCTACATGCTTGCAGCTCAGGACTGGTCCGTGGCACTTTGCTTGCTTTGGAGCCCTGACCGGCAAATTGCGCTCAATGCCATCCACTACACTGCGGAAGCTTAGCTGATACAGCAGCACCCCAGTTCTAAGCAAAGTGACTCAGGGTGGCGACGCCATATTTCTCGGCAAGGCAAGTTGCATTGCAGCCTGTGAAGTGGTGTCCTTGGATGTAGAACGAAGGCGGGACGGGTAATTTCCAGTTCGGGTCTTCCAGTCGTTAGAGCCTCACGGCGCTCCGAGGTCATCAAGATGTGCGGCCGGAAGCGTCAGTGGAGCGTCGGCCTGGAGTTGCTGGGCGGCTTGGACCACAAAGCTTTGCAGCCAGATGTCGTGGCCTACAACTCTGCGGCCAATGCCTGCCGGACACTCAGGAACGAGTGTTTTCTCCGATGCCGGCAGAGCCTTCAAGTTCTAAACGGCCTTTCATTGCCAGTGTTTTCACAGTTGGAACTGTGTCTTAATCTACTTTGTCTTTTCGTTCCTCTTCGTTTCTTTCGTCTCTTTTCGGGAGGTGCGAAGGCGCAGCAGTGGACGTGCACGCTGCGGATCCTGCGCATCCTGGGGATGGATCGGGGCCTGCGCCGCGACGAGGTGACCTGCACGGCGGCCATCGAGGCCCTGCGCGCGGACGCCCGGATCGAGCGGACCGCCCCGACCGGAAACGGTTTACTTGAAGTCTTGTGATAAGCACATGAGATATTCAGGTATCCCTGTATCCCCCGCTTTCCCCATGTGATATCCCATGTTTTGCCTATACTTAAAAAGTGCCCTACATGGCGGAAAGGTCAGCGGCGTGTGAGGCTTGGAGTGGCCCAAGGCCATTTGGCTCTTGGCCGAGCTGCCCCTTCGAAGGCTGCAGGCGGGTTCGCCGGTTTGGCTCGGCCCGGCTTGCTTTCATACATGCTCGGGGGTGGATTCGTGTGACATCTCCAGGTGGATGCGGTGGCCTGCGGGGCTGCCTCGCGGACGGCCGCCTGGGCTTGGGCCGCAGGCCTTCTGGCCGATCTGCCGCGCAGGAGCGAGAGCTGAGAGCTCGGGTGTTCGGCTTGGAGAAGGTCTCTGCCTGCAGGACCCTGGAGCCCAATGGCGTGGCCTACGGTGCAACAGCCTGGACTTGGTGGCAAAGCCTCCGGACTTTGGAGGCCATGGCCTCCAAGGGCATCGAGGGCGTGCAGGTCTACAACAGCGCCATCAGCAGCCTGGAGAAAGCAGCGAGATGGGCAGAGGCCTTGAGCCTTTTCGGCAGCCTCGTGTGCCCAGACTTGGTGAGCCACAATGCGGTCATCAGTGCCTGTGCGTCTGGGCGGCGATGGCAGTCGGCTCTCCTGGTGCTGGGCCACCTGGACGACCAGCGCCTCTCGCCGGATGTGATCACCTTCAACGCCGCCATCGCTGCTTGCGCCCAGCACTGGCGGGCAGTCGGTGCCTTGCTGCACGCCATGTTCTCATGGAGCCTCACCCCCACGGTGATGACCTTCAACGCAGCGCTCTCAGGCGCGGTGCGCTGGGAGCAGTGCGCCGCCCTGCTGGGGCAGATGAAGGTGCTAGCCTTGCAGCCAGACGACTTTAGCTACAGCATCGCCCTCGGGACGGGTTTGCAGCTTTAGCATAGCGATCCGAAACCAACGCCAGTTGTACGATCCTTCTGGGCAGGACGGACATGCGGTGGCAGCTGGCCCTCCAGCTTGGCACTCAGTTGCATGTTGATCTGGTGTTGCGCTGTTGATGTTGGTGGGCGTCCGCGGTGGTGGTCGGCTGTTTGCTTGGTTGACATAGTCGCCATCATCTTCGTGATTGGCTGGGTTCAGCGGGTCACTGACGAAATAGAAAAACTCCAGAGCTCTCTCTCTCTCTCTCTTTCGTGTGTCTGTGGCTTTTATCAGATTGGGGAGGTTCTTGTTTGGATCTTAGGGTGTGCAAAGTGAGGCTCGGCACTGGGGCGAACTTGGTGGTGCGCAACGCGGTGCTCAGCGGTTTGAAAGGCGGGTTCAGGTCCGCGCCGCGAGCGGCGTCAAGTTTTTGGCTAAGACAGAGAAAGGGAGAGAGAGGGAGAGTTTGCAAGGCGAATGGGCAATCGCAGTGGCCCTGCTGAGCCGTGACGCCGACTTGCTGTCCTTCAGCGCTGCAGCCAGCGCTTGCGAGAAAGCTGCATGGGACTCGGCGCTGCAACTGCTCCGGGCCTCAAGGCCGCGAGCTCTTGAGGCGGATCTTCTCCTTCACAGCGCCTCGGACCGTCGGATCGCACGGATCGCGCGGATCGCACGGATCGCACGGATCGCACGGATCGCGTGACTCGGTGACTCGGTGACTCGGTGACTCAACCCAACTTGACTTGGAGACTTGGAGAGGCCCGGTTCTGGCGGCGTGCGAATGTGCATCCCAGTGGCGCCGAGCTTTGCGGCTGTTCCACCGCCTGCCCGCACGCCGGGTAGCCGCCCGGAAGATTCCGAGGGCGTCTGGGGATTTGGCAAATGGGCGCCTTGTTTTTTGCGAGCGTGGGCGTCGCAGCTCAGGAGCCAGACGGGATTTGCGCTGCCAGTGCAGTAGGGTCAGCAGCAGCGGGCACTCAGTGGTGGCTGGCCTTGGCTGCGATGACCCCGGAATTGAGGAGACGTATTCTGTCATCACAGTTCTGCCCACATGAATTGTATGTAATGATTAAATGACATGGCTGACAGAAAGACATGTAAGGCGTAGAGTCGTAGAGTGGTAGGATCAAGATGTAGTAAGACTGCGCTGCTTGACAAGTGTTGCTTCCCCAGCCGTTCCAGCGTGCGCGCTCTGGTGCCCTCATGCTGCAAGATCTTGCAAGCAAACTGGCCATGCAGGACAATGTCCTCCGCCAGCAAGGCCGTTGCCGCTTGTGAAGGTTCTGGGCAGCCAGCCATGCTCTGGCAATTTGCTTCGAGCTTGCCCTCCGAAGAGGGTAATGGAAAACAGAGAAGTTGCTTCTCACTCAAGCGCCCCCCATGCAATTCCATGCGTGCAGAGCCGGCATGTGTGTTGATGGTGCCACTGATGCCTTTTTTTTTGCGGCCACGCTGGAGAAGCTCAGAAGAAGGCAATATTCAGCATGGGACATGAGCTTTTTTCCGCGCCAGAAGGTGCCTTGAGGACAAAGCAACGCGGGATGTGTTCCACTTTTGTCGGGCGGTGCATCGAATTGCTGCACGCGATGGTGACACGCGATGGTGGGCATGGATGTTCCGGAGACGAGCCCGGGAGCCCTGGAAAGCACGATTGCCGCTTGCGGGTTGTGCTTGGGTTCTTAACCTGGGAGAGGCTTGCGGAATCGGTTGAGATTGCCCAACCTAAAGAGTACCAGACATGCAGCGGCCTTTTGATTTGAACGGAAGGCCCGTGTTATTTGCATACTACTGTGTTTATGTTCAGAATAATCGTTGTACTAATTATCATGTTTAACATATGATTCAAATTCATACTGTTTATTTGATTTATTTGCATATAGATATGGAGCATATATATATATATATATTGCTTTTGATAAACTCCAACATGTATCAAAAGGAAAGCTTTCAATGAGATCGCACGAAGTTGGTGCACGGGGATAGGAACAAGGAGGACACGCTGGGTAGATGGAGCGAGGGGTGCGCTATGGTTGGCTAGGCTTTGACCAGTTGCCCGTGGCTGAGGCCCGCTTTGTTTCGTCGGGTGCGTCGCCCTTGCACTTGGCAGCTGCGCTCAGCTGCGGGGGTGATGAGATTTTCACGGAGTCCTCGCAGTGCCCATTCTCCTGCTGTGCATGAAGTGAAGCGCCAAAGGCGCCCAAGCGTCCAACCGACAGCCGCAATGCCATGCAAGGCCAGAGGCTTTGCCAAGGCACACTCTAAGTTTGTGGGGCTGCGGCTCTGTTGACTGGAGGGACTTCCCTGGACCCGAGGCGAAGGAGTAGCTCCCAATGCCGCTCTTGGTGTCCCCTGACGTCGAACCTGCTTGATTCCGGCAGTCTCCGGGCTTCGGGCCTTGGGCCCCGCCAGTGCCCCACCATATTCATCTCGCCAACCACGTCTACGTCCACAACCAGGGCATGGGACAGGGCAGCTTTCAACATGCCTGCAGCGTTCTGGAGGCAACTCTCATTTCCTCGACAGTCTTTGAGACGGCAGAGAAGCAGTACAGCTTCCAATGCAGTTCCGGCATTTTGCTGGAGGCATTGGAGTTTATGGCGCTCCCCACGTCATGGTCAGCCTTTCCGTGCACCGTGCATGGAGGAGAGCCATGCTCAATCTCGGCGGGAGTGCAAAGTGCGTGGCAGGCGAGCGGCGAGCACGGGCGATCCCTTCGCCTGGACTCCGAGACCTTCGACAGCCAGGCAGACCACATGGTCTGCAAGAGCTTTCTGCATCATATTTTGCTCTCGCCCGTGACTGCACCATGCCTAGCGTTGCCTCGTGGGGTGGTGCACAAGCAGCTGTGAAAGAGAGTTGCCGCTCCAGTTAAGGGTGAAGCAAAACGGTGCTGGCTTTTTCTTGGTTGATCAAGTTTTAGTGCATGCAGTGCGTGCGTGTGCCCACGATGCTGCAGGTACAGGAATAGGACAGGCCGCCCTCGACGTGGCTTTGCATTACGTAGCCGACGCCCGGGAAGCCGACGTAGCGTCCTGTTTCGGCCCGCGCCATGGGGTGCGGCACAGGCAAGCCGGCGGCTGTGTCGCCTTTGGGGTCACCAGTTTGCACAGTTGTCCCGACCAAGGCAGCTGATGCGAAGCCGGTAGCGGTGGTGTTGCCGGGGGGCTACGCCAAGCAGATCATGGAGGACTCCCCCTTTACGTATCACATCCTGGACGACCCCAACTACAACATGGGAAACGTCATGGGCTTCGACGCGGACCGCTTCGTGGAGGAGGCCATCAAGTACTGCAGGACCCATGGCATCAAAGGGGTGTTCGGTTTCGACTGCTTCCCCAGCTTGCTGGCCTCCATTATCAACACTGCCCTGCAGCTGCCGGGGCCGTCCTTCCTGAGCGTGTTCCACTGCGTCAGCAAGTACTACATGCGGAAGGCCCTGACCCCCGAGGTGAAGGTGGGCATGATCGACCCCAAGACCTGCGCCAAGCAGGTGCCGCCCAACCCGGAGGAGTTCCCACTGGTAGTCAAGGAGACGGACTGCCAGTTCTACATCGGCACCTGGATCGTGCACAGCAAGGACGAGTGGGTGACGCTGATGGAGAAGTTGAGCAGTCGGGACCAGAAGCTCCACGACCAGCGAAAGCAGTTCTACTTTAAGTGGTTCCAACAGTTGCACCCACAGAACGCTCCGGAGGCCCGGTGGGAGGACTTTGTGCTCTACCACTCAGAGCCCTACTTCGCCGGCCGGGAGCACCAGATTGAGATTGTGGTGGACAACGGCAAGGCGGGGAGATCCGACACTTTGGTCATGGGTCACCATTGCCTGTTGTTAAACGCTTGGAATATGCCTCTAATATGCTCTTCACCTCCTCTCCGCGCTTGTTGCCCAAGTGGCCCTGAGGAGCTGGTGGCGGACACGGGGGACATGATCAAGGTCGGGGACATCCTGGGAATGTTTGTGACGCCCGGGTCGTTTGAGATGCCGAAGGTCTTCGCGCACGACATCACGAAGAAGCTCTACGACATGGGCTACAACAACCAGGCCCTCGACCTTGAGTTCATCTTCACAGAGTCTGGGCCGCAGCTGGTGGAGATCAACAGCCGCTACAGCTACATGGGCTTCCGGTCTTGGTACGAGGTCCACGGGACCCACGCCCCAGCGGCCACTTCCCAGCTGGCCTCCAAGCCGTGCCTGCGGAACCTGGAGAACCGCACGCGGTCGTGCCTGGGGGAGCCGGTGCCCAAGTTCCCCTCGGACAGCAACGTGATCTCCAAGCTGGCCGTAGCCGTCTTCACCAACAAGACGGGCCCGGTGAAGGACATCGTGGACCTGGACTACTTGGAGAAAGTCGTGCAGGAGGGTAAGGCAGAGTGCTGGGTTCCCAAGCCTGCCTTCAAGGCGGGCGTCATCAAGGAGACAGACCTCTCCTACGGAGAGGGGAATGTATTTTGTAAGCTTGGCTTCATAATGATGACAGCCAAGAGGACAGACTTTGAGGCCACCAATGCCGCGATCCGGGGCATGTTCAAGAACATCTTCCGTGAGGCGGACTCATATCTCCTCGTCCAAGACGATGAGATTGGGTATGAGGTGGACAAGAATGCCCTTCTTTCCCTGGACGAAGCTCCGGCCTCGCGCATAGAAGCTGCCGCAGCTGAGTGCTGTTGTTAGATTTGACCAGTACACGGGGGAAAAGTGCGGACATCTGGGGTGGAAAGCAAGGCATGAGGTCGGCGAAAGGCGAGGCGTGAGTTGCGGCCTCGAAGTTCGGCTGTTTGCCCGCGCGATGTAGCTGTATCCATGGGCCCATGGGGAGCATCCGCCAGGTAGAACTTACCAAGGCTCGGGTGACAGCATTTCACTTGCGGTCGCCCGTGTGAACGGCTTGGTGTGCGAACGTCATGAGGACATCAAGGCGAAGCAGTGGCACGTGGCCGCGTCCTTGGTGTGCGCCGCAGTCGCCGCGTCCGTCACGCTGAACATCATCATCTATACAGCGCTGGTGAACACGTCCGCGCAAAGTGCCTTGGCCAGAGCGCACCATATTAACGTCATCTCGAGTCAGGGCTACACGGGCAATCCTGGAAGGTCACTGGCAAGAGTGTACGCGCCTCCTCAGCGACCTCCGGCATGGCGCCCTCCAGGCCAGCTGCCAGCTCGGGGCTTGGCAATTGACATGACTTGTGCATTCCGCATTTCACGCGCGGTGCGCCCACGCGGTCGCGCCCGCGCAGGCTGACCACCAGCTGTGCAACGCTGCGGGCCGCGCCTGTGCCGAGTGGCGTCGGCTGTTGCTGCAGCTGTGGCATTTCCAGGCGTGTGGCATGGCAGTGGACGCCCACGGGGCCAGTGCAGCTGCCAGGGCCTGCGCAGGCAGGTCCACAGCCCAAAAACGCATGCCGTGAGCGCATCCTGCTGACACAAATCATGGACTTTGCTTTGCCGTATTGATTCCCGCCACGTTGCATTGGTGAGCATTTCATCCCACGGGGCTGCTGAGCATTCTGGAGTTGTATCTTGAGCAGTCATAGCAGGGCGCCATTTTGCTACAGACACATTTGGGTCTTCGGGAGTGGCATCGGAGACATCCTCTCGCCTGGAGACGGTGACAGTTGCGAGATCGGCCAATCTGGGGCCAAGACTAGGCCCAGGTTCGTCACTGCCGGGCGGGCGGGCGAGGCTGGCGGGCGGCCTTTGCGCTGCTGCAGGCGTGGACCAAAGCCGCACTCCAGGCCACGGTGGTGAACCACAACGTGGCGGTGACCCGACTGGCGCCTCAGAGCAAATTGGGGAGACCTGTCGCGTGCAGGGAAACCAAGAGGAAACCAATCACCTTGAAAGGGCTCCATTTTTCAGGATCTCGAGATCGTTGCCTTCAGAATTAGTGCCTGCCATATGTGTCTGCTTGGCAGAGAGAATCAGCTCCTTCAGAGCTAACGCGGCCTAAATTTGGTTCCAATATTTTCTTTCTGGGCGACATGATCGTCCTGCATGCTTTTGGACAGCGTCGCGTATTGTTTCGCCAGGAGAAGGTTTCGAAGTGGCAGCCGTCCTTGGAAATCCTCACGGAGATGCAGAGGAAAGCAGTGGAACGGACGGCCCGCTGACCGAACCGCTCAGAAGTGAAACGCCAGTCACGCACAGCAAGTCTTGATTGCTTCCCCTTGCCATTTCAAGTTTGGAACCGTGTGGCCATCAAACGCGCATAGTGCTTGGAAGCTTCCGGAGTTGTGGATGGATGCCCCAGACCCCCCCAATTTGCAGCGTGCTTCTTGTGCTTCTTTTGCAAGATGCTGAATCAGGCAGCATTTGGTTTGCATGGTTAGTCAGCCTAGGGAATGAGGCCTTGCCGAGAGTCTTGAGGTCATTTCTCTGGCCTCTGCCATCAGTGCCTGTGGTGCTGGCCATTGGCAGCGGGCTGTGGCACTGCTGAGGTCGTGTCCTTGCCTGCAGCCGAATGTGCTTCTGGGCGACATTGGAACTGCTTGTGCTCGGTTGCTGTGCGGAAATTCTTTTGATTGTTTTGCGAGCTGAAACGCGCCCCCCTTGCCAGAAACAACAAGCCTAAGGATCGCCTGCAACGCTGCCATCAGTGCCTGTGAGAAGCAAGGCTAAGGGGGGCACTCTGCATCGGACCTTGAAATGCAGATCCAAGTCTGGGGCTTGGAAGCCTGGGGTGCAGCTGTGACCGCACGCAAGTACGCAAGTGGAGCATGCCTTTGGGAGCCGTGGAAGCGTGGCTTGTTCTGTGGTGCGCCAGTGCTCCGGGGACAACCCTGATCCTTATCCTCCATCGGGAATGGTGTGAGAATCTTGCAGATGTCGACATACACGAAGAAGCAGCTACCAGGTGTTGTTCCAAAGCAAACATGATGGTTGCATATTCCCCGGCAGCCTTTCACAGTTTGACTTCCTTGCCGGACTCATGGCTTGCGTGGCAAGTACTGGGGGTCTGCCAGGTCAGTGGCAGCAGGCAATAGGCTTGCTTGCTGAGATGGAGCTTCTGAGGTTGCAGGAGCTGTCAACTTGGGGTCGCCGGGTTGGCGAGGGCATCGCATTGAAGCCATTTGAAGCCTGCCAGGAGGACGTAATCTCCCACAACGCCGTGATCAGCGCCTGCGAGAAGGGCGGCCTCTGGGAGCGTGCCCTGGCGGTGCTGGCGCGGATGAGGTCTCGCCGGGTCCGTGCCACGGAGGTGACGCGCTCGGCCGTGGTCAGCGCCTGCGCCACGGCGCGCCGCTGGCGGGAGGCGCTTTGGGCGCTGCGGGCGCTGAGGCCTCGGCGTGGGAGCCACGACTTCGAGGCCAGCGCCAACGCGGCCAACGCGGCCAACGCGGCCAGCGCGGCCAACGCGGCCAACGCGGCCACCAACGCAGGCATCAGCGCCTGTGCGAGGGCGTGGGATTCGGCGCTGCAGCTGCTGCGGCACATGCCTGCAGAGGCTTTGCAGCCAGACCTTGTCAGCTTCAATGCTGCGCTTTCTGCCTGCAGGCGCTTTTGGCTCGGGGCTTCGGCTCACTTTTGGCTCGCTGCACCAACTTTGGTGGCCCTTGTGTGGACCTGTTCAACAATTCGCATTTTTTCATTGGACTTTGGAGCGTTGGAGCTCCGTCCAGGTGGCGTCAAATCGTGGACTTGCTGGCCAGCATTCGGTGCAGAGGGCTTGAGAAGGATGCGCTTCCGGCTGAGTTGTTTGTTTGAAGGATTCAATTGGGAGGTCTTGGAATTTTCAAGGCTCGAGGCGCACGTGACATGTGACAGGTGATCACCTACGAGGCCGCGGTCTGGGGCTTTGAGAAGGCTTCCCGCAGCCGGGAGGCTGTGGCTCTCCTGCGGGACCTGGAGCTCTCCTACTGAGAGTGCGTGCCAGGCGATACACAGTGGAGACGAAAAAACAAAGCATGACTTTGCGGCCGTCCGAAGTCCGAGGTTCAGTGGGTCCACTGGGTCCACTGGGTCGTTGACGCATGCACAAAATTGGGGCTTTCTTGCAAGCGCCCAAGGATGTGCTGCGCCGAGTTTTCCAAGCCACGCTGGACATCCAGGTGCTGGCAGATGGCACTCTCCGCATACAGATTCCGCAAAGTACGCTGAGGCGTGCGGGCGCTTGCTGGAAGGCAAGGCTGTGTGGCGCATGGCGGCGATTCTTGAGCTTGTCAGGCCCAGAGCGGCGAACTCCGCAGATGTCTCCACAGGCGCAGCGTGGCGCAGCGATGAGGTGCACGGAGGATTGCGTTTTCTGGCAGGCGAGCATGCAGGACATGCAGGAGGCCAGAACATTTGCACGGGAGAAGCGAGGGAGGTGGCAAGTGCCAGGCGCTGCACCCAAAGAGGAACGAGTCCAACGTGGAACAGCTCCTGCGAGAATGGGACTCTCTCAAAAAAGGCCGGGTGACTTTCAAATTTCAGCTTGACGGTTCGGCCTGCTTCTCTTTGCTTCTCTTTGCTTTGCTTCTTTGCTTAGTTTCTGCCCAGTTGGTTCCCAGAACATGGCGCCGGCGGTGCTGCTCAGCGAGCAGGCATCGGCCAGGCTCCATTGGCCCTGCATGTTCCACAGGCTCGTGGATATTTTCCCCCGTTTTTCCGGATTATTTTAAATTATTTTCCATGTTTCCAGAGTCAGTGTTTGTCAACTGTTTCTTTTTCGCCTCTGTCTCGTTTCCTGGTCCCGGGCTGTTCCGCGCGGTTCGACAGGAGCGAGTCACCGTGGAGAGCGCCCTGGACAACGCCGAGCTCATGGCGCCGTGGCCTGAGATATCCTGAGATCGTTTCGTCGCTTTGGGCTCAAGCGGCCTTGGGCCCAGAAATTTGTCTTTCTCCTGGACCTTTTGACCTTTTGGTTCTTCCGTTTCGGTCGTTTGGTAGAGATGTCTTTCTCTTGGGTTGTCTTGGAACTTGGGGCCCGGCACAAGGCTGAAGCACGCGGAGATCAGCGGCTGGCAATGACCTCACTGCGATTTCCATGGCAGTTTGACCAGCGTTCTCGCCCGTGCCGCTTGTGCTTGCCAGTTGCACGCAAAAAAGGCCCGAGGCCGTTTTGCCAACATGTGCCAACAGACCATGGCTAAGCGCTACACGCAACTGCAATCATCCAAAAAGCAACATGATAGCGATCAGAGCACACCATTGGCACAACTGGCCACGCGCAGCCAACGCCGCCCGTCCACATGCGTCGGCTAGCCCGGGCCTCAGGCATGTCCTCAAGCAACGCCAGTGTCTGGAGCCAGGCACTTTGTTGCCTGCTGGCGACGCTGGCCGCTAGCTAAGACGGATGTGTGATGCCGGTCTGCGGGAAAATAAGGAAAAGCGAGGAGCCCCACACGGTGCGAGTTTTGTGCCAGACTTTGCAAGTTGAGGTGGTGACATGCGAGCTAAGGCGTGGTGGTACTTGCATGGGACCAGTTTGCAGGCGGCAAGGGCTTGTGTGGCGAGGGCCCCTTGACAGAATGCCAGGAACGCAACGAAGGCAACTCCATGTGCCAAGGCAGATCAGCTCAGGCCTCAGCTTCTCGAAAGAGCAACAGGGAATTGCTGTGCTTGAGCTCAGGATGTGAAGGTCTGGAAGAAGGGAGGGCGCGCGGCCTTCCTCTACGAGATTGATGCATGCGGCCAGCGCTGCACGGGCCGTTCCAAGTGCGCGGCCAGCTGCATGGCGAAGCGGGGCTACAGCAGGGGCCCCAGATGCCGAGACAGGCGACTTCAAGAGCTGATTGTGACTGCGAGGCTCGCCCTGCGCGGACTGCTTTGGAGGCAGAGGGAGGGCACGTGCGGATGGTAGCCCATCGGCCCCTGGCAGCTGCAGCCTAGTGAATTGAGTGAGCTGAATTTGAGGTCTGGTGGGCTGCAGTGCGGCTAAGTGCTGGATGCCGGCACCTGAGAAGGAGAGAGCCCAGAGCAAGATGACACTTTGCCAGGCCGTGTGCCAGGGGCGACGCAAACCCCAAGTGCCGTGCCTGCACCAAAGCGAAGTGCCAGCCCAGCTTCAAGGCGCACGTTGCCGTCTTCTTCCGTCGCGCCCGCTTCCTGCTTGGCCAGGCCTGCAGTGGCATCAACGACTTGCCCAAGTGGAGTGAGGAGGCCAAAGAGGCTGCGGCCAAGGTTGCCGTGGCTTAGACTCGACCCGCGGAGGAAAGGGAGATGTTCAGATGTTCCCTGGCTTTTTGCGTCGCTCGATGTTCGCTTCGGAAAGCTCAGTTCTTTGACGCTCGAGCCGAGGTTTTTTGACCGCCGCACTGGCGAGCGCTGGCTGGCCGCCAAGGTGGCAGAGATCTGCCGCGGAAATCTGGCGGAGTGGATGGCGCCGGCCGCTCAGCGTGTGAGCGAGCCTCCACATGAACAGGCAAGAAGGACTGTCGCTTTTGAGACGTCTTGCAAAAGAAGAGCGGACATTCTCCAGGCTGTACGGGTGGGAGCTGTGGCTGAACGGATTGCATAAGACCTTGGGCGACTTCCCAGCTTTCTTGGGCTTACACTGGCTGGCCATTTTGGGCTAGGCATGGCAAATCTGGCTGGTGCCAATACGATCTCTTAGGTGGGCCTTCTTCCATTGTACCCCAGACGAGGCGCGGGACAAGGGCAAAGGGCTGCATGCGGCGCTCGTCATTTCACCTCTGACGTCGGGCCCTTTTGGCTGTACGAAAAGAAGGCAATGGCCGGGCCAGCGGTCGCCATGGCTCATGGAGCCTGTAGAGGTGACCTATACGTCCCAGGAAGAGCTGAAGAAGGACATGGGGTATCTGGACCCTGGTACCATGTGCATGCGGGTGACGCTGCCCGGTAAGGGCGTACCAGCAGGCTGGCACCTGCAGATGTCCAAGAAGGCGCGGTGTTCGCAAAGCCGCCCAGTCGCTGGCGAGACCGCGCCAAATGTTTGGAGAGTTGCGCAGGGTTGTTTATCGGAGTGGACCCCAGGAGTTGGGGCAGCTGCTGCAGCGGGTGTACAAGGACTGGCCGGGCACAGTGCGGCTCACCTTTGAGGCGCCCCCCGAGGAGGACGAGCTCGAGGGTCTGTCGCCAAGATCCGTGCAGGCCTTGCGCCTGGCAAACGCAGCCCAGGATGGAGACCTGGTGGCAGTGCGGCGCCTGGCAGATGAGCTCGAGGCAAGTGGCATTTCCAGTGTGGACCAGAGGCTGGGGGTCAAGGGCCGGAACTCCGCGCTGAACCTGGCGGCGCGGGGCGGGCACCTGGAGGTCATGGCGCTGCTGCTGGGGCGGCGGGCGGACGTGAACAGTCGCAACGACTTCCGGGAGACGCCGCTGCTCTGCGCGGCCAACCGCGCCCGGGGGGGCGCGTGTCAGCTGCTGCTGCAGCGGCGCGCAGACCCGCAGGCGGTGGACGAGAACGGCGACGGCGCCTTGGACTTCCTCGGCCCCGGCCGCTCCGAGAAGCAGCGCGGCTGCCGTGAGGTGCTTCAGGCCGCAGGCTGCCAGCGCCGATGCTGAGTGAGACCTAAGGACCTAGAGCGTCAGACCAGTGGGCGCGACATGAAAACCTGAGCACCCTGCAGCTGGCCTTGAAAGCTCTTCATTGGACCTCATTTTGCCAGGTGCCTCCCCAGAGGCGCGAGGAGATGACAAAGCTCATTGAGGAAGGTCGCATCGATATCTCCTGATTGCAGTCCATAGCCGGGCCCCTTTGAGGTGTGCAGTGGGCCGGTGTTGACTTCCCTCCTGGCTACAACCCGCACGTGCAAGCCATGCGACTGACCATGGCGAGCGTCTGAACTTTCACAGGGCTCAGAGAATCTTGAGCTTGAGGATCCCATTCCCTCCGAGCATCGGCCACTGGCTTACTACATTGTCAAGCCCTGAGACTGGCACGCGAGAGCCGATCCATTCCCAATCCCTGGGGCCAGGTGACTGCGCTTGCAATGCCCGTGGCAAGCTTAGAGCTGGAAGAGGCAATCAAGGCCAAGAGATTCAGAGGTGGTGAACGGTTACAACCTCGAACACCTCGGGTTCCATGCCCACAGGCCTGGCGGACCAGGCCATGTCACCTCTCAGCTGCCTCCCCGTGAGGAGTGGCACGCTGTGGTACTGGCTGCGGCGCGGGCGAGGGAGACAAGGCGGGAAATACGGAGACTCAGTGACCCCATGGCTTTCCACGGTCTCCCACGGTGTCTGCGCGCAGTGGCCGCCTCCGGTCGCCTCGTTCGCTCAGGCGCTGAGCCTCCGCTGGTGTTCTGCCACGGCGTGGGCGTGAACTTGCTGCCCTACGCTGCTCGGAGATGAAAAAGGGGATGCGCTCCGTGCCACTGCACGTGTTGGTGACTGAGGTCCACTTCATCAATGAACTGTTGAGGCCCGACCCCCGGCTTCGCGTGTTGTGGCACAAGCTCGGTTTTGAGCCGCACGCTCCTGGTGAAACGTGCGCAGGCAAGTGCCGAGAGGCAAAGACATCTTCCTGGTATCCTTGCCGCACATCTCCATGCGCATCAAGGAGGTGGGACTTGCCGACCTGTTTGTGCACACTGCGTTCAGCAGGTCCGCAATCTGTTCTCTATTGCGAAATCTTCTTTTTTATTTCCTGCCACGAGTGCGAACCGAGTGCCGCGAGGATGTGCCCTCCTCCACTGAGATGGTGGCGTGTTTGCGTGACATGCTGGCGAGTTGGGAGCACACCTCCGCGCACTTCATCGGCCACTCCTTCGGCTCCATCGTGGTCGCCTGGATGGCCCGCAACGCCAAGGAGATGGCCTGGGCACCGAGGTCAGATCCGGCCGAGCCGGGCCAGCCGGCGGGTTGTCGGGGGGGACTAGTCGTGGGAAAAGCTGGCAGCAGCACGCATTTCCGTCAGCTGCCATAGATCCTGAAAAGGGCACGCCGGGTATCTCCAGTTTCGGAAAGGCATTCTGCCCCGCACGCTTTGATGTTTACCTGGTGCCCGTGCACATGACACGAGTGGCAATCAATCGATTGGGTGCGAGACCAGGCTCTCCAGGCTTGAGCGTTTCTTGCGATTTGGTGACGTATCTGACACAGTCACCTTTGTTTGCTTAATCAACATGTTTGGCACGCTTGAAGCGGCCCAGACGCGGAGCCTGAAATGCCTGGCAAGAGAAGGGCTCCTTGAGGTCAGCGTTGCCACCTTCCTTGACCCTGTTTGCTTCTTGCTCATCAAGCCAGATGCCGGGCCCCCAGCCCTCAGATCGGTAGCCTTCCGATCTTCCTGCGAGGTGTGCTACAACTTCATGTACCGACAGCCTCAGACGGCGACGCAGCTGTTGATGCACTACTTCGTGGCCCGGGAGTTGTTCATTGCGCCGCTCGGCTTTTCGAGTTCTCTTGGCCTCTTGGCCCTGCATCACCCCTCGCCTCCCAGGCACAGCTTGTCCCGGAACTTCTTTTGGCATCAGAACCTGCTGTGGCCAGAGGCATGGACCCCAGCCTAGCTTTGATCATCTTTGATCTCTCAATCTCTTTGGTATGTATGTTGGCTACAGGAGCTGGACATGCCTTGCATGGTGATGCTCTCTGGGGAGGATTCCATTGCTCGTGTCTTACCTTTTGCGTGGGGCTTGCGGCTTGTAGATTGTGGCTCCCAGGTGCCAGCTCATTCTGCCCCTTGGCCGCCACGATCGAAGTGCGTGAAGTGCTCCATTCCCCAGGTCCGGCGCTACCTCACGGGCTGGATCCAGAAAATCCGAGCAAACAAACAGGACACCTTCAGGCAGGCGTTGCTCTGCGCTCCGCTCCGTCGATGGTTTGGCGTGCTACTTTGCCCTTTGCAAGGTTGCTGTGGTTCCCCAACCTGGGGCACGGTGAGATGAACTTTGGCCCGGTTGGGTGCGCTGGGGTGGGTCAACCTTCGCAGCTCGAGTTCTCGGTGCCGTGATGTGCTACCCTGGGCAAACCGCGGCAGGCTGGCTGCATGCAAGCGCATCGTTGCCGAGATGATGTCGCTCGAGGCAAGGTTATCTTGTAGTTAGATCCTACAGCTGTCATGAGCTAGCTGTTGGCGCTTCGTGGACATTCACACTTGGGCTGTTCATTCAATGAGTCGTATTTCGCGTTCGCTTGGCCGTCAGCGGCTCATGCAGCAGCAATTGTTCTTGTTCCCAGCCGTTCCGCTACAGTGCCGTGAGTTTTGGGCATTTGCACGGCGATGCGCATCCACCAAGTTGTGGTGCCTTTGTTAAAGCCGTGAGAAAGCCAAAGCCTCGGCCGATGGCTGAAAGCCCTGCAAAGAGGTAGGCCACCATCCTACACTGCAACAAAAAGACAGCTTCAAGGCGGCAGGTGATTGATGCACTGAGCTGAGCAAGGCTGACTGCGTATTGTTAGCTGTGCCCTTTTCAAGTGTCGGGCTTCAGTCGCGCGGAACGGAGGCGGTGAGGCGGGGTAATTCAACTCGAGTCCCCATCCACGGCTTCTTTGGGCGCAGGTATGGAGACGCTGTCGCCGACGAGCGCGCTGATATGCCGCGCCACTCAGGAAGCTTCCGGAATACAGCCCAGGTTCCACCACATAGTCCTGCGCACCCTGTTGTAAAGAAGCCCTTTAGCTTGGGTTGGTTGTCCTACCTGTGGGACGGTCTTTCAGCCTGCTCTTTTGTTCCGTTTCATGCACCTGGGTCATTACACTCAGCTGATCAACTGGGTACATGTTCCACTATGTCAATGCGTTTTGGAGCGCGTCTTGCCTTGCCCTTGGCTCGCCTTGGCTTGTGGCTAAGGCCATTCGCTCCACACGTCGAACCAGCCCCCTGTGGCCATTGTCCATGAGGCGCATCTCAACCGCCGGCCCTCCAGTGCACGCCTGAGAGAAGGACTTGTCGGGAGGGCGTTGCTTCCGACACGTACGTGTGCTCGTGCAGGTGCGGGTTCTGGTTTCATGGCTGATTTTCAGGTCAGGTGCTTGCAGGGGCGTGCAGTTTGGGGTGCTGGCGCAGGTGCTGGTGTTTCATGGGTGGTTTAGGTTTTCGGGGTGCAGGTGCTGGTGCTCGGGGGTGGCTTCCTTGCGTCTGGCGCAGGTGCTGGTTGGCGGTTTGCAGGAGATACTATTAGGGTTGCTGGTGTTGAGGGGTGGTTTCTTGGGGCGCTTGCAGAGGGGCGCAGGTGCCGGTGCCTTGCTAAGTGGTCTCTCCAACATTCTGGCGTAAGTTGGCTGAAGCGGTTCATGTTGCTCCTCCCGGACAAGGTCCAGGACTCCAGGCTGTTGCTAGTCTCGGGCTCACAAGCTTGGCTTTGAGTCGAGCTGAGGCAAGGCCTCCACCGCTCCGACCGAGCCGCCCTCCAGCCACGGCCAGGGCCCTGACCCACGCGCCTGTATGGGAGTGCAGTTGGCCGGAGGAAGCTGGACGCCGTACCAAGCCGCCGTCAGGACACGGCAGATTCCGTGAGCATGATTCTGGCACCATCCGGGATGCAGGACGGCGGACATGGTCCTCAGGCCGCCGTCCAGTGCCAGCACGGGACCCAAGAACTGAATTGCCGCGTTGCTGAATCCGAATCTGAGTCTGAGGCTCCGTGGTGTCCTGCCGACGGGACAGCTTGGATGGTGACTTGGCTCACTGGGATCGGGCAAAGAGAACGGCTCAGCTTGCCAGGCTATTCGATCTCACAGGACTTGAAGGCGCGAGCCCGGGCACGGACGCACGGGGGTCTGCGATGCCAGGCCGACGGCTTTGACGGAAGTGGGGCCCTCGAACCCGAAGGGGCCAGATGGCCCACGTCGCGACATGCTCTCTGAGACCTGCGGCTCCTCTCCGAAGAAGAGGTGGCGCAGAGGGCGTCCAGCGCGCTGTCCTACTTCAGGACAGCTCAATCCGTGCTTCAGGTTCCTCACGAGACTTGCCAAACTGCCCTGGTGCAACAGCATTACTTGACTTGACTACTCGAGTGCGAGGACCACCCGCGAGATCAATCGACAGGCCCGCAGCGCGGAAGAAATGGCCTGGGACCCAAGCCTACAACGTTTCTCGTTTGGTGCTTCCCTTCTTGCGGGGCCCTTGGCACTGTCCGAGGAGTACGCGCTGCAGAAGGCCCGGCAGCGCCGCAAGTCTGAGGCAAGGGTTCTTCCAGCAAGTGTATGCAAGCGTATGCAAGCACCAACCTGCAATCCGCAAATGGCGTGACGAAATACTACAACTCAGCAGCCGGAGGGAGAGAGATACCAGCGCCTGCATCGGCTTATGAACGGCTGAGTGGCAGGAGCTGCGTCCCAAGCAGCAAATGCTGGCTCTAGAGGCCCTGGAGTTTGCCTGGAAGCTGGGCGGGCATGTGCTCGCGCACGTTGGCGTGTGAGGCCACAGTGGAGACGGAGATGTCAGACAACGAGGAGTGGAGCGGCCATCCCACAAGAGGGGTGAATTGCTTTGGGCAAGTGCGGTGACCCCGCAGGAACACGAGGAGCATACGAGTCCGAGGATGACACTGGCAGAGCGCATGGGCTACGGGGTCAAGGGAAAGGAAGTGGCAGGGCCCTCACAAGCCGCGAAACCCTACGAACCCACGAGATGAGCTGCGGAAGTGTGTCTTGCACTGAGTCCAAGTGGAAGAAGCGGGCCGTGAAGGAAAAACCCAAGAAATCGGTGCTTGTCCCGGCAGCCTAAGTTCCAGCAATTCCAATCACGTGCCCAAGCCTGTGCCTTGCCAAGGCGTTTGCCAGCCCTGGGCTGAATGCCCAGTCTCAAGCTTGCATTCCGAATCCAGCCTGAGGCATACAAGCTGGAAGCAACGATCTCTTGGCCCGACTGCGCCAGAAGCGGATGACCATTGAGTGAGATGGCCATAGGCCATAGGCCGAAGGAAAACTCCCTGAAATTGTGAATTGGCGCGTGTGGGGCCGGCCAATTGAAAAGACGGACATGCAGGCATCGTTTTATCGGCTCTCCATACCTGGCCTGGAGCCCCTGGCTGGAATTCGGACGCCCCTCCAGAGCGGGGATTTGTCTAGACGGCGTCTCTAGGAATAGGAGCAGCGAAGCACCAGATGGCAGGATCATAGATCCAAGTAGGTCCAAGTAGGTCCAGGTAGGTCCAGGTAGGTCCAAGTAGGCGCCGGGGCCAGGCCGCCACAAGATGTGGCTCTCGTCTCACCTCCGGCTGCCACCCAGCGCAGCTTCCCGGAGTTTCATGGCCTGCGTGGCACAAGCTCCGCGCAGTGCTGGGACTGCAAAATCAGACAGCCCACTGGCTGAAGGGGCGGGGGGACCCAGGTCTTCGGACAGTGTGCAGCCAGATTCTAGGAAGCTTCTGGGACTAGCCGCGCGGCCCAAGCTGTCCGTAGACTCAACAAACGCAGACGTTTCCACGACGGAGCCATTGAAACATTCCCACTTTGCTTGAGCCAAGACTTTTGTAAGGGGAGGGGGGCGCGACTTCCGAGCCTTTGGCGCATGCCAGGGCTCTTGCCATGGGGCAGGCCCGCCCAAATGGGCGTGCTTGAGGTTCAGACACCTTGCGCATTCTGGTTTCAATCTGGCAGGTCTGGAGAGTTGTGGGCTTTTGGTGTAGGGCCAAGCTGCCAAGCTGCCAAGCTGCCAAGCCGAGCCTTGCCCCAAAAGTTCCCGGCAATGGCCCAGGTGCTTCCTGAGGGCCGCAGGGGAGGCAGGCGTGACGTATTCCTGTGATGCCCTTGCAGTACTGGCACGGAGGACTGCCCAGATGGGTCCTACCGCAGTTCACCAATTGTGTTCAGCGCCAGTCTGAATCAGCCAGCTTGCATGCCTTCCGCGCCTTTCTGCGCCTTTCCGCGCCTTTCCGCGCCTTTCCGTGCCTTTCCATGCCTTGCCTTCTGACCGAGGCTGCGGCGGTGGCTTCGGCCAGGGCAAAGTCCTGCTGGCCGCAGCCAGTGAGAGCGCGGAGCTTTCCGACGCCTTCGGCGGACATTTGTCCGACGGCGCATCGAGGCGCTCCGCTGCCTATCCCCCTGGGTGCTGAGGGCCCCGGGCTCGGGATTGCGCGTGTTTCTTGGCCCGGCCTTGGCATACATCTTCCATCCATGCCTGGTTGGCTGGCTGGCTGGTGACATGGATTTGCATTGTGTTGGCTTAGGGTTCGGGGGTGGGATTTGGCCAGTTCGCTTATTTTGGCTGGCTTAAGCTGGAATTGCAGCAATGCCTGGAAACAACCCCCCACGGCGGCAAACAATCCATCAACCAAGCCCAAGGCCCAGCCTGACTGCACCGCTAGAACCCTAAATTCCTAGAAGCAAGACACCCCCGAGAGTCTGCAGGTAATGCAAGACGGTAAGAATTAGTAAGAATCGTAAGAATGTGTTTTGAACGTTTCTTTGAAAATTGCTTGAGGAACGTTCTGAGCCGTGAGGCTTTCGGGTATCAGCATCCTCCAGTGCTGGGCCTCTAAGCCTGCGGTTGCATGATGAGGCGCGAGATGCAATTGGGCTTCCTCTTAATCCGAAGATCTTAGCACGGCTAAATGGATGGCAGGAGCCGAAATTACAGTCACGGAAAGCAGCCTTGAACATCGCTGGGTCGCTTTTGACGGGGTTTGCATGTTTGAAGGTTCCTTTGACGCTTGTTGCGACAGGCAAACAACATCCTGGTAGCGTCTGAGCGCATAGGGCTCAGTGGGTAAGTAGTGTGAGCGCTGTGGGCGGTGTGGGGGGGGCACCGGGCTGAGACCATGGCTTGGTCAATGGATCAGCCCGGGCTGGCGTGTACAAGGCACGAAGGGCCAAGCGGCTAAGCGGAAAGCCTACTTGCGGCCACAAGCCGACGTTGCCAGGATGTTGGCGTCATCTTCACCGGCAGCTCTGTCTCACAAGCAGCTCCTCGGCTCAATACAGCCCGGAGCTAGCCGTGCAGCTGGAGCCTTGTCAGGACAACACCAGTCTTTATTTGTCAGCGGCTCAGCAGCTCATCAACGCTACACTGGTACACGGTTTCTTTCTGAGCTGCGCTCAGAGCACAGGCTGGGCGCAGCGACCACCCCAATGCAGCTCTCGCCAGCCTGGCGTGGATTGCAGGTTTGGCTGGCTTTGCTTTGTATTGGCTGGATTGCTTGCGTTGCTGTTTTAAGGCTCTGCAATCTGGGGAACGTCTCGGCCAGCGTGACGCTGGTGCCCGATTCGCTCGGCGTGCCATGGCTTCTCGCTGTCGCTGCGGGCAGGCGTACACCTTCGAGCGCGTCTTGGACTGCACGTCCCCGCCAGTGTGAACCTCAGCTCAGATTCCCGAGAAAAGCCGGCGGGCTGCAGCCTAGGCGGGCTGCAGCACGTACAGCGCCGGCAACGCCCAGTGGCAGGCCCTGGGCTTTGTTGCCATGCCGGTTGTGCGTTTGTTTGCTTGTGATTGCTTGCTTATTTCATTTGTTGATTGGTTGATTGGTTGATTGATTGATTGATTGACTGATTGCCTGACTGACTGACTGACTGTCTGACTGACTGATTTACTGATTTACTTATTGATTGATTGACTGATTGACTGATTGACTGATTGATTGATTGATTGATTGATTGATTGATTGATTGATTGATTGATTGATTCATTGATTGATTGATTGCCTGACTGACTGACTGACTGTCTGACTGACTGATTTACTGATTTACTTATTGATTGATTGACTGATTGACTGATTGACTGATTGACTGATGGCCTGATTGCCTGACTGACTGACTGACTGTCTGACTGACTGATTTACTGATTTACTTATTGATTGATTGACTGATTGACTGATTGACTGATTGACTGATTGATTGATTGATTGATTGATTGATTGATTGATTGATTGATTGATTGATTGCATGAATGAATGAATGAATGAATGAATGAATGAATGAATGAATGAATGAATTTATGAATTGATGAATTGATGGATGGATGGATGGACGGACGGACGGATGGATGGACGGGATTGATTTGACTTTGATTTTGATTGATTGATGAATGAATGAATGAATGAATGAATGCGTGCATGAATTAATTGAATTTATTGATTGGGTGGATTGATTGATTGATTGATTGATTGATTGATTGATTGATTGATTGATTGATTGATTGATTGATTGATTGATTGATTGATTGATTGATTGATTGATTGATGCATGGATGGATGGATGGATGGGCGGACGGATGGATGGATGGCACTGATTTGACTTCAATGTTGATTGATTGAATGAATGCATGAATTGATTGAATTTGCTGATGGATGGATTGATGGGAGTGATTGATTGGTCGATTGATTGGTCGATTGATTGATTGATTGATTGATTGATTGATTGATTGATTGATTGATTGATTGATTGATTGATTGGTTTGATTGGTTTGATTGATTGGTTGATTGGTTGGTTGGTTGGTTGGTTGGGTGATTGATTTGATTGGTTGGATGGTTGGTTGGTTGGTTGGTTGGTTGGCTGGTTGGTTGGTTGCTTGATTGTTTTATTGATTGGAGCGAGCGAGCGAGCGAGTGAGTTTGAAAGCTTTGTGTGTGTGTGTGTGTCCTGTTTTGTTTTTGTTTTTTTTGCGTAAACACGTGTTTGCGCAATGCTTGTTCCATGATGTGGCGGATCGTCTTGTCAAGGTCGTCTGGCAGGCTGAGCCACCCCTTGCGTAGGTCCGTTTCAAGGTCGTCTGGCAGGCAGAGCCACCCCTGGTATAGGTCCGTTTCGAAGTCGTCTGGCAGGCAGAGCCACCCCCTCGAATAGGTCCGTTTCAAGGTCGTCTGGCAGGCTGAGCCACCCCTGGCATAGGTCCGTTTCAAAGTCGTCTGGCAGGCAGAGCCGCCCCGTCGCTCGCCCCTGTGGGGGCGTGTGTGTGTGCGGAGCATCAGATTTACCTTGATGCCAACTTTTCAACACGCAGGGGGCTGGAGCCGGCCCGGGGGGTCTCCAGCCAACGAAGACGCCCCCCGGTGTCCGGGTCCAAACGTACCTGCGGGGCTGCGCCTGGGCCATTGTCATGGTAGCTGGCGGGCCCACCCCAAACAAAGGTCCCCTTTTTGCCCTTTTCTCCAAAACCAGCTGAACCCCAGCTGTACTCGAGACTCACCAGTTGTACTCGAACGATGAGAGACTCATCAGTTGTACTCGAGACTCATCAGTTGTACTCGAGACTCATCAGTTGTACTCGAGACTCATCAGTTGTACTCGAAAGATTTGAACCCTCCATCTGGAGTTGAAGTGTGAACACCCCATCCTTGGGGGACCCTCGGGTGTACCCATCGTGTGACCCCGGGCCGGTTCGCCGGAAAATTTGACCTCAACGTGCTTATCATAGACCAGCGGAATTTCACGTTTAAGCAGGAACGAGGTTTCACTAAAGGGAAGACAGCCACCAGATCATAGCTACGTCTCACAAGTGCCTGGGAGCTGCTTGCTGATTGCATCAATGCCGTTGAACTTGATGTTCTGGTTGTGCAATGCTCGGGTTGTGCATGTTCTGTTTGCGCAATGCTTGTTCCATGATGTGGCGGATCGTCTTGTCAAGGTCGTCTGGCAGGCTGAGCCACCCCTTGCGTAGGTCCGTTTCAAGGTCGTCTGGCAGGCAGAGCCACCCCTGGCATAGGTCCGTTTCGAAGTCGTCTGGCAGGCAGAGCCAACCCCTCGAATAGGTCCGTTTCAAGGTCGTCTGGCAGGCTGAGCCACCCCTTGCGTAGGTCCGTTTCAAGGTCGTCTGGCAGGCAGAGCCACCCCTGGTATAGGTCCGTTTCGAAGTCGTCTGGCAGGCAGAGCCACCCCCTCGAATAGGTCCGTTTCAAGGTCGTCTGGCAGGCTGAGCCACCCTGGCATAGGTCCGTTTCAAAGTCGTCTGGCAGGCAGAGCCGCCCCGTCGCTCGCCCCTGTGGGGGCGTGTGTGTGCGGAGCATCAGATTTACCCTGATGCCAACTTTTCAACACGCAGGGGGCTGGAGCCGGCCCGGGGGGGTCTCCAGCCAACGAAGACGCCCCCCGGTGTCCGGGTCCAAACGTACCTGCGGGGCTGCGCCTGGGCCATTGTCATGGCAGCTGGCGGGCCCACCCCAAACAAAGGTCCCCTTTTTGCCCTTTTCTCCAAAACCAGCTGAACCCCAGCTGTACTCGAGACTCACCAGTTGTACTCGAACGATGAGAGACTCATCAGTTGTACTCGAGACTCATCAGTTGTACTCGAGACTCATCAGTTGTACTCGAAAGATTTGAACCCTCCATCTGGAGTTGAAGTGTGAACACCCCATCCTTGGGGGCCCTCGGGTGTACCCATCGTGTGACCCCGGGCCGGTTCGCCGGAAAATTTGACCTCAACGTGCTTATCATAGACCAGCGGAATTTCACGTTTAAGCAGGAACGAGGTTTCACTAAAGGGAAGACAGCCACCAGATCATAGCTACGTCTCACAAGTGCCTGGGAGCTGCTTGCTGATTGCATCAATGCCGTTGAACTTGATGTTCTGGTTGTGCAATGCTCGGGTTGCGCATGTTCTGTTTGCGCAATGCTTGTTCCATGATGTGGCGGATCGTCTTGTCAAGGTCGTCTGGCAGGCTGAGCCACCCCTTGCGTAGGTCCGTTTCAAGGTCGTCTGGCAGGCAGAGCCACCCCTGGCATAGGTCCGTTTTGAAGTCGTCTGGCAGGCAGAGCCAACCCCTCGAATAGGTCCGTTTCAAGGTCGTCTGGCAGGCTGAGCCACCCCTTGCGTAGGTCCGTTTCAAGGTCGTCTGGCAGGCAGAGCCACCCCTGGTATAGGTCCGTTTCGAAGTCGTCTGGCAGGCAGAGCCACCCCCTCGAATAGGTCCGTTTCAAGGTCGTCTGGCAGGCTGAGCCACCCTGGCATAGGTCCGTTTCAAAGTCGTCTGGCAGGCAGAGCCGCCCCGTCGCTCGCCCCTGTGGGGGCGTGTGTGTGCGGAGCATCAGATTTACCCTGATGCCAACTTTTCAACACGTCAGGGGGCTGGAGCCGGCCCGGGGGGGTCTCCAGCCAACGAAGACGCCCCCAAACGTACCTGCGGGGCTGCGCCTGGGCCATTGTCATGGCAGCTGGCGGGCCCACCCCAAACAAAGGTCCCCTTTTTGCCCTTTTCTCCAAAACCAGCTGAACTCCAGCTGTACTCGAGACTCACCAGTTGTACTCGAACGATGAGAGACTCATCAGTTGTACTCGAACGATGAGAGACTCATCAGTTGTACTCGAGACTCATCAGTTGTACTCGAAAGATTTGAACCCTCCATCTGGAGTTGAAGTGTGTGTGTGTGTGTCCTGCATTTTGCGTAAACACGCGTGTTCGATGTTCGCACGCGCGTGCGTGCATGCATGCGTGCGTGCCTGCGTGCGTGCGTGTGTGTCTGAGTGTGTTTGCTTGTGCGTGCGGTTGGTTGGTTGGTTGGTTGCTTGCTTGCTTGCTTGCTTGATTGGTTGATTGATTGATTGATTGATTGATTGATTGATTGATTGATTGGAGCGAGCGAGCGAGTGAGTGAGTTTGAACGCTTTGTGTGTGTGTGTGTCCTGTTTTGTTTTTTGTTTTTTTGCGTAAACACGTGTGTTCGATGTTCGCACACGCGTGCGTGCGTGCATGCATCCGTGCGTGCGTGCCTGCCTGCCTGCCTGCCTGCCTGCCTGCCTGCGTGCGTGCGTGCGTGGGTGTGTGTGTGTGTGCGTGTGTGTGTGTGTGTAAGGAAAATGCATCCTTCTTGAACGCTTCTTTGATCACAATGCAGTCGTGTGCATAATGTAAGATACATGGTAAATGCATTCGCATCCATGCCAACTCCGTTGGCTCAAGACGCATCGCCCGACTGATGGAAAAAGGTCGCGGCCGAAGAACCTGGTTTGTTCTTCTTGTTGTGTTTTCTTTTCTGGAAACCCTGGGGCTCAAAAGGTTGTGGCCCTTAGCGGGTTTCTTCATGGTAGCGGAGCCGCCAAAGGCGGCTGTAGGTTTAGGTCATAGCCATGGCTCTTGACTTTGAAGGGATCTTCAAGAGATCTCGAGCAAGCAGCCAACCGCCGAGTTGGCCTGCACCGCCACAAGGTGGCACGCATAGCCCACACGGGGGCCGAAGCCAAGCGAGCCCCGTGTGGGCAGAGCTGAGTGAGATCAGCCGGGCTGCATCAGTTGCAGCAGCACAGGATCTACATGGATCAAGTGGGCCATCAGGCCATGCAGAGCCGCCAGTTCGCAGCAACAAGGTGGGACCTTGTTCAGTGGACCTGCGGGTCAGAGTGGGCCTTTCGGCCAAGCAGAGCCATCAGGGCTCAGTGGACCTCCGGGTCAGACAGGGCTTTTTAGCCATCCAGAGATGCAAGGTCTCAATAGGCCAACAGGACAGAGTGGGC